AATAACTCCAGAGCTTTCTGGGTTTTGCCAATTTTTATCATCAATTCATCCCCTCTTTTGCCGAGATTGCCCTACTCCTTTCAGAACTACTCAAAACAGGCAAAGGAGGAAGGAAGCCACAGCCGGGCCAACCACTAACATGGACAATGGGCTGTCAAACAGCTTTTGAGAATTTAAAGAGACTGTTTGCTGCTGAACCGGTCCTAAAGCACCCCTACCCAGGGGAACCCTTTGTGATTCAAGCCGACGCCATCAATGTGGCAGTTGGAACTGTGTTACTGCAAAAGAACAAAAGTGGGGTCCTGCAACCCTGCGCCTACACCTCTAAGAAATTTACTGAGAGCGAGCGGAGATGGGCAATCTGGGAGAAAGAGGCCTTCACGATTAGATGGGCGCTATTAAACTGGTGACACTATCTAGAAGGGAGCAAGGTGCCATTTGAATATGGACAGATCACAAAAATCTAGAAGCACTGAGAACTCCCCGTAAATTGTCCCCAAAACAAGTGCGATGGGCACAGTACTTTAACCGCTTCAACTTCACTCTAGCGTACATACCAGGAGGAAAAAGCTTCCTAGCTGATGCGCTATCCCGGCTACCCCAATACAAAAGCGAACGGGAAGAGATTAATGAGGCTATTATCCCCAATTCACAAACTGCCGCTCAACTTACACCTCGCAGGGTCCCCAATCCTGATGACCCCGGAGTAAAGAAAATAAAACGAGAGCTCCTCACCGATCAATGGTTCAAAGATAATCACACCTCCCTAACGTGCAGGGATGGCTTGGATTACAAAGGGGGGAAACTATATTTGTCAGAAGCCCTCCATCTTAATGCTCTCAAACACAGCCACGATATAAAACAGGCTGGACACTTTGGATATTTGAAAACCCTACACCTCACCCGCCGGCAATTTTGGTGGCCGGGGCTGAAAAAGGATGTGGAAAACTATGTAAAAAGTTGTACGTATGTGCCACAATGAAAAGAATTCCAGGGAAAACCCCTGGATTACTGCAACCCGTGGCAGACCCTTCTCAACCATGGGAAGAAATAGCTATGGACTTTATAGTAGACCTACCTGAAAGTAGAGGAAATACTGTCATCTGGACTGTAATAGACTTGTTTTTGAAGCAGGCTCATTTCATTGCCTGCAAAGGACTCCCATCTGCCCAATGACTGACCAAATTGTTCCTGAAGCATATCTACCAGCTGCATGGCACCCCTAAGCGAATAATTTCAGACAGGAGGGTGCAGTTCACAGCAAAGTTTTGGAGGAATTTTCTTAAATTAATTGGATCATCTCAAGGGTTATCCTCTGCTTTTCATCCTGCTACCAATGGGGCTGCAGAATCCGCTAACAAAATGGTGCAGCAATATCTTAGATGCTATGTTTCTTACCAACAGACGAACTGGACTGATCTCCCTTTTGCAGAGGTGGCGTACAATAATTCTGTGCATAGCAGCACCAGCTACACGCCTTTCAGAGTGGCCATAGGAAAAGAGTTCAGCCCAATACCTGAATATCCTCAGGTGCCCTCCGTTTCCCAGACATTTGATCAGTGGGTGAGGGGGTGGGAAGAAGTTTGGAGAAACACAAAAACTGCTTTAAAAAAGACTTTTGAAACCTATAAAAAGCAGGCTGATAGGAAGAGGGCTCCCCAAAGAACATTCCAAGTTGGGGAAAAGGTTTATTTATCAACTAAGTATTTACGCCTCAAATTGCCCAGCAAGAAATTGGGGCCAAAATTCTTGGGGCCTTTCCCCATAGTAAGGATCATTAACCCGGTCACAGTAGAACTAAAACTCCCTAGACTTTTAGGGAAAGATTCGCCCAGTTTTTCATTGTAGCTTGTTGAAACCTTATCGGGGCTCCACTTTAAGACCTCCTCCGAAGAAGGCACCTGGGCCCCTCATAGTTGCGGGACAGACCCACTACGAACTAAAACGTATTCTTGACTCTAGAATTTTTAAAGGGAAATTGCAGTACCTGGTACAATGGAAGGGATACCCGTTGTCTGAAGCCACCTGGGTGAAATCCAGTGAAGTGAAACCTGACAGATTGGTCAAAAGGATTCATGTGAAACACCCCAACAAACCGAAAAATAACCCTTAACCTACACTTTTGTTTACATTCCAGGATCTGTCCTTTTTGTAAGGGGGGCCGGATGTCAAGACTGCTAACATTGGATGTTCTTGCTTGCCATATATGAAGAAGTAAACATGTTTTATTTAGCCTGCATATCACTTCTAGAGTTAAAGCAGACAATGCTAGCAGTGGGTGGGAAAGTATGCTAGTTAACCATAACAATATTTCAGTACAGCATTGCCAAGGTCAGCTGTAACCGGAGGAGTTACGGGAGGGACAGTTCACACTTCAAACTAATTGGAGAATGTGATTGATGACTGTAAAATGAAGGAGTGAGTTATGCTTTGTTACGGGTGATTGGGGGTGGGAGGATTCAGTTTTTGGCTTAATTATGTACGTGCCAAAGCTATGTAGCAATAAAAGGATTCTTTAAGGTAAATAAGCCTCAAAGTTCTTTGAAAAGCTGCTTCTTTTCGGAACCATGACACAGTTAACAATGAGAATTGCATGCTTTAATGCTACCTTTTTTGCTTATTTAGTTAGTTAGTAGTGGAAATTTATATTTCCAAGCGGGGAGTGTTCTGGACCAGCTATGTAATCATTTGTGTTATTGTGTTTAGCATTTATAAGGTTAATGATGTATTATTGAATGAACTGCATGTTAGAATGTTTGGCATTTATAGGTTAAGAGATGGCTTATGGGCAATATTAGTTAATGCTGTTAGTTAATGCTGTGTGGGAGGAGTTGCAAAGTTTTATGACTGTACTTCCTGACTTTGTGCCTAATTTTCGCTCTGTGTCTTCCATGGCTTCCAGACGCATGTGTTGGAAGCTTTGTTCTGCAAACATATGATTTGTACACAGGATGACAAAGAACTATTAACTTTTTACCTAATGAAATGGATTCTGATTGCAACAGTATTCCGGAAGCATCTCAGCTGTAAACTGTGAGTTATTGATTGAGAATACCTGTGAATACAGTAATCTTCTAATCTATTCATTTGAGTTAAATACTTACTGCTCACGTGGAGAGGGAAGCATTCAGATCTACGTGGCAGGAAACCGATCCCTTTGGAAAAGAGCTACATCAGAATAACATACATCAGAATAACAGTGTGGGAAGGGACCTTGGAGGTCTTCTACTCCAACCTCCTGCTCAAGCAGGAGACCTTATTCCAGTGGTGGGATTCAAATATGTGAACAACTGGTTCTCTGTGTGGATGCTGCGTCCAGACGTCCACTCTGGGCATGGGCAACAAAAAATTAACTA